TATTATTAAGACTATTATTAAGACTATTATTCGATTGAAAATGAAAGCAAAGATTTATTAATTGCAATGAAGTGTAGGACGAGTGAAGAATTTGTTATTTTACTTATCATTTAAATGCCATTCAATTGCTGTAAATAATCAATTGATTCGAAGTCAAAGACATCGATTGCACACAAACTCTCACTCTTTTCATATGAAAATTGATTTGTTTTTTAAATATAACAATAATATTAATCATTTGAATACCAGTTATGACAAAACAAACTAAAAGTGAATTTATTAGACATCTATTAACTGCCATTCGATTCAAATGCATATTAATTTTTGGTCCAATTATTACATAAGTTGTAAATTATATGATATAATGATATTATATATACGACTCTACTGTATATGAAAACTCATTTTAATTGACTCTCAAACACACCACAAATTGAATGACATTTTCGGGTTTAAATGACTTTCAATTGAATTCATCTTAACATTCATCACAACAACAAATGTTTTATTAATTAAGTAGTCGTTGGACTGTATTTGACATCATTTCTATGCAATCATTTCGACAAACTTATGACAATTTTCTCTCTAATTGTCTCCAGAGATCAGTCTTAACGCAAACAACAAAATTAAATTTGATTTTTTAATTCAATTTATATTTCAAATTGTTTTTCAGTGATTTGATTTGATTTGTGTTTATGATTCAACACACGTATGGATTACATTCAGACCAAAATTTAAACTTCAAATCTTTGCCACAAATGCATCAAAAATAACAAACTCTCAGATAATTATATAATAATATATATTATATATAAATATATATAAACACTTTTGCCCTTATTTTTCATTAGAAAAGAGTTACGAAAGACATGAAAATATTTACCAAAAATCTGTATAAAACGCATCTTTTCTTAAAGACAAATGCATTAAAAATTAGTTGTTTTATGAATTCCTATAAATAATTTTAGCGAAAGATTAGTCGTGTGTTACGAGTGTTTTGAGTTATCCTTGATTTTCTGACAAATGATTTTGTATTAATTTTGCAAACATTTATTTTATATTAGTTTGCCATTCGTAGGGAAAATACAATTACATAATAATAATAGGATTGAGTGAAAACCTAAACTATTCATCGAAATAATGGAAAGAAATGTAAAATTTATTGATTTTATTGTTAAATTTTGAACACTTTTTTGTCCACAAAATCGATAAGTTTTTTCATAAACTTCTTTAAACACTCGTTTAATATAAAACAAATTCTGTTGTTTAAATGAAATGATTGAATAATAATTTTTTGCTATTTATTTGTTTTTTACTTCAATTATATTACAATTCGAGTAATGAATTCATTATTCAATTCACACACGAATTATTTGAGTAAAAGTTGTTTAAAACTTATATATAAAAAATCAAACATTTCTCAAGCCTTTTAAATATAAATTAATTTCTCTTTTTTATGATTGAAAAGCAAATCATTTCTGTCTTTTGTTTCTCAAGAAATACGTGAGAAAAAGCTCAACAAAAGCTGTTATTTCCCCTCAATTGCTAAGAATTTCGTTTCGCATTGAATGCCATGTCTTTTGGGTTCATATTTTCCATTTAATTCCTATTTTTATAATTCTTATCTTTAATCTACTATTTATACTCATCTATAATTAGATTCACTGAATATTATTAATTACAAAAACAATTATTTCATATATAATTATTACAACTAATTGTAACAAAAATTATTATTATTTGAAATTTATATTTTATAAAATTGTTCGTTATAAAACTATGTTATATTATTATCATTTTGGTTTATAATTATACTCTAATTGAGAGTTATTATTAATTGCAATAAAAATTAATTTTTAAATAATAGTACAAAAAATCACAAATAAATTACAGAAAAATCTAAAAAACTGAATGAATTTATTCTTCAATATAATTATCATATTTACAGAAATGGTGTTTAAAGTGAAATGACAAACAAATTTCAAACAAATGATTACAATATACGGTATATTTTGAAATACTATTTATGAACAAATTGTGTCAAATTGTGTGAAATCATGTAAACGGAGTTCATTTGCGTTTACCGGACGGCCGATCAAACACTTGTTTCATACCTCCGGCCTGTTGTGTATGAAATTTATTGGATTGCGTGGTCTCTGCAGTCCAGGCGCTGTCAAAAGCGGTGGTGTCCTGGTCGACGAGATGCGTGTATTTGGTACGACCGGAACGGCCAAAGTTCTTCACTTGCATCACCTTTGGAACAACTGTGCGATCGAAGTGGTCCTCAAGAGTGGGCTGAGCGAAGTCACGCTTAAACACCTCGTCCTCCTCGTCCAGGAAGAACACCCCTCTGTGGTAATACTTCTGCAGGAATTTGTACTTCCCTTTGGGCGCCGCATTGGTCACCACTTTGGGGTTATTCTTCAACTCCTGGAGCCGTTCCTCTTCCGTCATCTGCCGAAGCCTCTCGACCTCCTGTCGCTCCCGGAGGTACGCCTCCGACTCGTCTTTGTCTCTCTTAATTCGCTTCAATTCCCGTAATTTCCAGACTTCATAAGCGGTCTCTTCGTTCTCATCGTCCGTCAAAACGGTCGCAATTCCTCTCTTAATGGCCTCCTCTTCCTTCGCGTCTTCCCTCTCCTGTTCCTCCCGTCGCACGTCTTCTTCAATCATTTTCAGCGTTTGTCTCTTCCGGTCCTCCGCTGCACGCCTTTCCGCCTCCTTTTGCTGCCTTTCCTTCAGCTCTTCCTTCTCCTTCTCTGTGACTGTGATTCTGTCTCTTTTGCGCACAAATACGGGCTTAAGTCGAGGGCCCGTCTCGTCCTCCGAGTCCGTGTACTCCTCGTACTCCGACTCCTCTTCTTCTTCCTCCTCCTCCTCGTCCACGTCCACAGCCAACAGCTCCTCGTCTTCCTCTTCCCTCTTCAGTCTCAACACTTCGTGTCTTCGCTCCACGTTCTCCTCGTCCGCCTCCTCCTCATCGCTCGACTTGTCTTCGGTCTCATGTCGACTGCGACGCCGACTCTTCGCCTCTTCCACCGACTCCTTGTCCTCCGAACCCAACGACAAGATCTGCGGCTGAAGAACGTGTCGACGCGAAGGGTGTCTCCGATCGGTCTCCTCGTCGTCCGAGTCCTCAGTCTTGACATCCCTTCGAGACATCATTCGTCGTATTCGCGGATCACTCGCCTTATACTCGATGTCTTCGTCGACATCGATGTCCTCAGTCTTCACGACATGAGAGCCCACGTATTGAGCGTTCAATTGCTGTCCTCTTTGTTGCGAACTATTCCTCCAATTAGTGGTCAACTCGTTGTCACTCTCTTCTAACAAAGAATTTGTCGGAATTTCAGCTCTCAATCAATCGATAACATAATAACAGATAATATGCTTTAGACTTAAAAGTATAAAACCTGTGAACAACACTTGTATATCACAAGGAATCGCACCGATAGTAAGAACATGAGATGTTGTGCTAAATAACATCGTTATAAAATGCATAACAGATTTGATTTTCCTTTTATTACTCTTTTAAATAAATAATTAATGTCTGGAAAAAGGATTGAAAAAATGAGAGTTGAGGCAAACTATGTGTAGAAACGGAAGCATAAAAATAGTAAACGAAAACATAAAAATAAAACATTTACTGTATATTCTCTTAAATTTAATGTTTTATAAATTAAAATCAATTAATAATAAGTGTCATAAAGATTTCAAATGTAATTCTGAATTGCTGTAAATCTATTAATAATGTAATATAAAACGAAAACATAAGATTCATTTGGGGTCACAAGAAAACAAACTCAAAATCCATTATAAATACAATAAAAAATATAATTAATTGATAGAAATGTGCTTGTTTTCAATTGCCTGCGAGAGTATATTTTACTCATTTTAATTGTAATCAAATTACTTGTTTATCAGTTATCAGTAGATTTGTATTAATATAATATATCAGACGAGAGATAAGTTATTTTATAGGCAAAGCTTTTGCTTCGTTTTGCAAATTATAAAAACAGTTAATAATTATAATCAAAGAAATGTCAAAAACTTTTTATCACTTTTTGTTTGAGAAAAAAGCGAAGAAATCGTTTATTACTAATGGTTTAGTTGTCTATGAGATGATAATCACGAATCCGTTCGTGTGGTCGACCTATTCGTGTGATTATTAACTAGTTTTGTCTCCGAATTAATGCTATTATTAGTGACATTAGTGCCACCATTTGAATAGTTCTTGTGATTGCTATTCACCACTTCGTCGGACGAGTCCTTCAACGAACCCACACTGGACTCGGACTCATCATCAGATCGCAAGTCTTTTATCTGAAATACATATCCAAATCAAACATTAATAATGTATACATCCATAAAACATTAGAGCAAATGAGTGGAAAAGCGATTAATCATTGTTTAAAATAGAGGTTTGAGTTGAAGGGGAAGTGCTTAAGAGGAAAGTAATGGCAGAAAGTAATGGCAGATATGAGGGATGACTGACTCCATTATTTTTGACGGCGTGGATGGCAATCCTGACTATAAACCAGGTCCACACTATATGCAAGGCTTGCAATGCGCACAATAAGCCGTTGAATATATAATAGGCGGCGAACATGGGCACCACTGACAACGCCTTATGGAGCGAGAAGTATAGTATGCGATACGGCAGGAGACCGATGCGGGACACCACCCAACACACGGTGAACACCACGAATATGCCGTCAGCCATACGCTGCTTCTTCACGTATGTCATCATCTTTGCGCCCTTTATCACAACAAATACAACATATATTAACACAAATTGTCATCGATATAATCTTCTGGATCTAATTACCTCCAGAGGTATGTCTGCAAAGTCATGGATTAGAAGAACTAGTGTTCCCATTCTGACCAGATTACAGGCCCATGAAAATCCTAATAAGCATAGAGTGACCACATGGTGGACAAACATCGCCCAAAAGTCCTGCACATGGAGTATACAACAGAATACCGTAAATAATAAAATATGGCATTCATTGATGGGAAATAACTTTTGAAACAAAAACTGACNGACGAGATGACAGCCCCTGAGCACCGGCCGTAAGTGGACTTTCTTCTGGAACCACGCGGTCTGAGTGCGGATAATACCAGTGGTGAGCGATGAGGACGAATGTCTTGAGCCCCGGGACGACGAGACCGACTCTCTGGAGGAATGGCCCGAATGGTGGCCTTCGGACGAGTGTTGCGACGAGTGGTGACCTCCGGAAGCGTTGGGCGCCGAGTGTTGGGCCACGTATTGGTGCGACGAAGACGACTGACCCGAAGACGTCTGCGGCTGTGATGACGACGAGGCCATCGGATGACTCATGGGATCTGTGGCCACGACTTATGGGATCTGCTCTTCAAATGCACGGATCCGTCGGCTTTGGTTGTGTCGACGCTTATGGTGTGTGGCTAAGGATTGGGATGAGTTTGTGATCACCATTTAATACACCATTGAATACACCATTTGTCTCATGAGTGGTACTCTTCGTCCAATTATCCGATATTTACAGCAAATCGACGGTTCAATGGTATGTCTGGACGTGGAGTGCAGTCATTGGTTTCCAATCATAACTAACTATTGTGTCAATAATTGCATTCAAATGTGTTTATTATAACAAAATTGTTGTAAATATGATATCAAATCATTATTATTACTGTTAGACGAGTATGTCATGTGACCTCTCGTTCCCATAACTACCCAAATGAATCAACTCTTCCCAATGCCATAGCTCTCTCTCTCTCTCTCTCTCTCTCCCTCCCTCTCTCTCTCTCTATCTGTGTCTGAGCTCGAGCTCCGCACCAGTCCTCACCACTACTCCACCACCACTACCACTACTGACCCTCACAGAGGGGGTGCACAGGGGGTCAGGCATACACCCAACACGTATAGGCCACACACTGACCACATACTGGCCCAACATATATCATGTGAATATAATGGGAATATTGAGAATATTCTGTAAACTAAGCTAATTTGCTTATGAAGTGAATATAATTGGAAAGCATTTCCTCGAAAGAAATTTCTGGTTTTATAAAATGCATAAAATTCTCTCAAATAGAGTGTGTTTTGCCTTCACTTTGCGATAATGAGCTCAAAGTTATTCTGTAACATAATTTTTATCATTTAATGAATTAAAATCACAAATTAATCACTTTTGATGAGCATTTCTGTTGTGAATTTACAAGTAATGCCTTATAAAAGATCTAATGTTTGCGCTAAACTTCGCTTATATTATGGACACGGATTACACAACTATTATATTATAAAAGCTAATGTAATGACACACAGAAACAAACAGAATTAGTTTTTATTAGTTTCATTCATTAGTTTTGTTTGAGGAAATTGTTTTAGTTTTCCCAATGCATTTTTAGTTTTAAAAATTTACATAGAAAGCTTTAAATTCAATATTGGCTTATGTAACTAAAACACATACCAATCCATAAGTTTTCATTCACTTTATAGTTCATTCATTCAGTTTTATTGATAGAAAACACCCTTTCCATGAGGTGTAGTCTCTCTCACACAAGAATATTCCGTATATTGAAATGAAAATTGTTGGCAATTGATAGACAAGTCTCGAGCTTAGCGTACAGTATAATCGATGTATAATTAGCGTATTGTAAATGAGTTTTATATGTGTAACAAATGTTAATGTAAACTTTGGAGTAAAACATGTCATTTTGGGATTTTTATTAATTAATAGATTTCTTCTCTTTGCTAATCATCTCATGAGTATTAAAGCACCGGTAGGTTAGGCAGTGCTCTGGAATCGCATTCGTATTCCAAAGTGGATTAAACATTACAATAATTGTCGAACCACTACATCATTAGCGGTAATACCCTTCCGCTCCCTTCCCTTACCTGACTCTTAATTTATAGATAATTTACGGCAAACTATATAATAGATGAATACAGAGCTCGAGCCAGTCTTCTCTCAACATTATGTCAAATACAGACTTTTTTTTATTGAGTCAAAACAGTTATACAAAAGACGTTTCATTCAAACAATTAAATAATCCATAAATAATAATAATATAGAGATATAGAGAAGAGTATTGAAAGTATAGAGAACTCTAATTTCAAGTATAACTGTAACTTCTCTTCAGTTATTATTAGAGTAACAGAAGGAATGAGAAAAAACAATGAAAGCCAACAAAATAGTGGGAAATATAATAAAAAAGACAATTGATATACACATCCAGTTATTCAGTAGATTAGGGAGAGAGAGAGAGAGAGAGAGAGAGCTATGGCATTGGGAAGAGTTGATTCATTTGGGTAGTTATGGGAACGAGAGGTCACATGACATACTCGTCTAACAGTAATAATAATGATTTGATATCATA